TATATATATATATATATTATCTCCATAAAATCATCTTCAACAAACCCTTCAGTTGTGAATTCAATCAATCCATTTAATAGATTGGAATTAAGACAGATTTTGCAAAACTGTATGCATGGTTTTAGAGATAATATTTTATCCTCTACTATTCCATTCTAGAAGTCATAGATATCTTGCTTTATCGACCATCTGTTCTAAAGTAGCAGCTTAAGGACTTCTTCCAAACATAACGTGAATCTTTCTTTGTTAAATAGAGGATTTCGTTTAAACACCTCAAGCTTTACTCAAGCCATGAATCGTGCTAACAGGACATTGCCTTCAAATTACTAACGCACTTTGTTCCCTTTGTGGAGAAAAAAATAATTTTATCATATGTTTTATTCCAACTACAATCTAGATTCTGCTTGTGAATTCCCCGACATGCATACTTCCTTCAACGGAAACAATTGCCCAGATACATCTAGGGCTTTGAGAGAGAAACCTAAAAAAAGCAACAGTTATCTCAAAACCGCTATATCGGTAAGAACATCGGAACCAACTAAATTATCTAGTAAAAAACTAAATGTATTCTCGGAAAGGAGAGAACTTTAATAAGAAACAAGTAACTACCTCAAACCCATAAAGGACTTATCAGTAAGAGCAGCAGACCGAAAGCAAAGTATCGAAAATTAAGGAAAAAATAAAATCCAATTTTCGCAAAGGAAAATAGGGTGGTTTACTTGTTGGGGTCCGGATGAATGTTTGCGATTCCATGGCCAGGAGAAGCTTAGGGTTTTTTGAGGTGCCGGTCTCACATAATCCTCCCCAATGCCATTACAGATTCCAGTAGACGGAGCAGTCAGTAGAAAAATCGAAAGCAGAAGAGCGAGCTTGCCCATTTCCGATCGCCGTTGATCATGCTATCTCTACGGAAATGCCGCTTCCGATGAGGGTAATTTATACGCCTTGGTTGTTGATACCAAAAATAACATTTTTAATCCTATCAGAACTCAAAAAAAAAATGTTAAATTAAATAAAAATAAAATTAAAATATGCCACCATTTATGTCCATGAATCCTCTAAATTAAATATCTTGGAGTTGCCCCTAAACCCTAAACATTGAGCACTCAATGTCCCTTACATTTCTACAAGATAACCTTTCAAAATCAAGCATTACGACTCTTAGGTGTTATTTGAAAACTAGTGAAATTTAAGTTATTAAGATTTAGTAAATCTATTAAATTTGGTTTTACTAAATCCAAAATGAATTTAATTCTGAAAACTGTTTGGCAACTAATTTATCAAATCCTATAAATCCCGTAAAATTTAGACATTGAGGTTAAATCTGTCGATTTGTAAGATTTGGTAAATCAGGAACTTATTGCTGAAATTTATAAAATCAGAATTTATTAAGTTCGAACGTCTATTAGTCCAAAATGGCTATTTGGCAAGATTTAGCTTACATCCAGCTTAAATTCAGAACTAAATATGTTGTTAAATAGCCCCTTACCAACCACTTATCAAGTATGAATTCTCAATCTTAAAAAAGATCAATCAATTCATTTTTTTTAGAATGTATGGAGTATGAATTAGGTTTAAAGAAAATTATTAATATATTCTTTATTGTTTGAAAAATAAATTCACAATTTATCTTCCTCATATCAAATCATACAAAGAAATAATAAAAAAAAGCAAAACAATCAAGTAATTTCAAATCCACGAGCCCCAAAAGATTAAGAAAAGTTCAGTAGTACAAAGTGTGATTATTTGACCTATATAGCTTCTTGAACTGCTTACATGACTTCATGTAGAAAACAAAAAAATTATATGCTCCTTTACAAGCTGAATTAGAATAGAGCATATTTGAAAAAACTTATTTATTATTGTTGGTCATTTGTTTCAATTCCCCCTTTTAGTTAGGTGTGAGAAAAAAAGTGGATATTTGCTTTTCCACAGAACATTAAAAGTAAAATTTTCTTATGATAAATATTGAATTATAGCTCAAATGGTCAAGAAAGTAATTCAAAAGACTGATGGGAGGTTCAAAGAGTTAATGAAATAAGGAGAAGTTATGTCCATTTTAGAGACACTTTGGAAGATTGATAAAACCATCCTGTGTTAAAATTGTCATGTAACCTAGTAAGAAGAATATGAAGGGAATTGTAAGGAAAACTTGTAGTATTTAGTGTAATGGGTATAATAGATCTTTTGAGGTGCAATATGGTAGAAAACAAGAAGATTTTTTTTATAGATAATTTAGTTTGAGTAGATAGACTTCCTATTTCTGAAACTTACTCAACGAGAAACTTGTTATGACTATTTTAAAGACAAAGGAATTGGCTTCATCTTTTCAAACATATATCTCTAAGAACAAAATGATTCGTAGACAAATGTTGGGGGCTTCATCTATCCATCTTTTGTACCTTTTTGCCTAATTAATAAAGAGAAGTGGCGATGAACGTGAATATCTATAAGGAGCAAAGTTCTAGAATTTATTAGTTAGAGTTAGTCTGCATTACATCATCATATGGAGGATATTTTGAATGAGCCCATTCATAGCATTACTAAGATGAATAAAGCTAATGATGATGTTGATTTTATGATGAAAATTATTTGCATAGTTAACACTAGGAACTTAATCAAGCCATTATAGAGTAAAGCTTTGAAAAAGTTCATCTAAAGGCCAATGGAAGTCCACAACATGACTTAATCCAAAAACTTTACTTTTAGCTAAAAAAAAAAAAATGAATGTCTCTCTATGATGGAAAAAAATGAAAGATATGATGAACATAATGATGGTTTTATCATTCAAGATTATTTTATCCTAAAAAGTTCCTTTTATAGAGTAGCCCACAAAGAAAAGAACAAAGTAGATCTAGTAGAGTATTCAAAAGTAGATATGCGGTCTAAGAATGTCATATTTGTCGGGCATGATGTATAAAAGAATAATAAAGATGATTGAAGATATTTTATTAAGTTGCAGATTAATGAGAAACTAGCATAGACATAGGGCATGTTACGTACTACTCTATTTTTGGCGAGTTTAAAAAGAATAAATATATCATTACCTCGTTCGGCTTTATCATAATCGACTCACTAGCAACGTACTACTCTGTTTTCGACGACCTCCTTCTTAACACATTCAATGTTTTTTTTTCGACTTATCAGGTCACAATAAAGTTCTCAGGCAAAGGAGAAGTGATCACCGTGTCATGACCCAACCTGATGCAACCGTCTTGAGTAGTAGAACAAACACGGGGTGCATACCATTCAGTTGGGACTAATTTTTACTGGTACGAAAACCATCGAGTTATTTAGCCTTCACAAAGTTTAAAAGATTCAATGATTTTCTCTTTTTGTCCATGTCTTTAAGCCAAGTTCAATAGTTTCAAATGATCGGGTCCTTGATCTTTATATATCATTAACCCAGGGACTTGCATCCTGAACTATTGATCCACCCTTTTATATAGGTAGTGGTTCAACCTTAACTGACTGATCAACAAGGTTTACCTCATTTATGTTATCTTTTTGCATTACCCGGTGTAATCCCATTTCTTATATATTTTTTACCTTTTATATAACACCTATTTGAAGTTCATAGGACAGTGTTTGAGTCTTATCACTGACTAGGTTTAAACTGCATTTTGTGTCAACACATCCCTTCTTTTTTGATTTGAATGGAGTTGACATCTAAATAACATTCATTGGTGTTAGAATGTCACCATCTTTTACTTATAAATCTTAGACATTTTGTCATGTAAGTGTAAGCCCTAAATAATAATAATTTGTAGGATGAAATGTTTAATAAATTTTCCTTGAAATTGAAGTCAAACCATAGGATGGCTTGGGAAGTTACTGAGGTTCTCCTCAAAATCCGTGACAACCCCTAGTTTTTTTTTGTTTGGATTATGTAATCCGTGACAACCCCTAGTTTTTTTTTGTTTGGATTCTGTAATAAATGTTCCGAAATTGATCTTTTCTCATTTGATACTTCTTTGTCCAACCTTGAAAGTACTAAACTTCGAGATTCTAGAAGACAATATTTTATAATCTAAATCGATAGTTTTCTTAGACGATTTCGATTGTCTAAGATGTAATTAACTATAGGGGCTTGCCCTTATAAAAAACTTTAGAACTCAACTTAATATAAACCCTATATAATCTTTTATATTAGATAGAGAAAATTTACGGTCAACATAACGGATGTCATTAATTCTTTAGTTTATTTAATTGAGTCTAAGAAGTAAGTAATGTGTCTATTCCTCGGCATAGATGCATTGTTTACAGTTTTGTACTATATTTAATTAAATATTATACTTCCCAATCAAGAAACTGACACTGACCTAATAAAAGGATTTGAAAAGGCATGGTGGTCAAAAAGGCGATTTTCAGTCAAAACAAAAAGGGGTACAAACAAAGGGTCCAATATAATCTCTGTCAATCCAACCGAATGAGCTTCTACATCAAGAACTCTCCTCCAACCTTAAACTGGCTCAAAAATTTGGACTCGATTTGGCTCTATTGACCAAGCATTTGTCCCTCACATCCCCCAGCTCAATTTGCAAGTCAATAATCAACTTCATTAGTTTGATGACCTCTTTTCTCAAATCATTCAGCTATTTTGCTTGCTCAACAACTTTTATAGTAGAAGCAACTTCATAAGTTACTAGGGTAGGACCTCTGTCTCCATCGGGTGGAGGGGAATGATCACGATATCATGACCCCCTTCATCTTCTTTTATGCCTCTACAGTGTCTCCATTTACTACAATTGAATGACCCTCCTTAAGAGAGAACTAATCAACTCCCTCATTCACCTAACCATCTCTCCCCACAAGAGCATCCAACAATACATTTACATTTAGTTACCTAAAATTCTTTGTGTGATAATATGGGCTGCAAAGTTTGCAATGTAAACTCTATATATAAAAAAAGGAAGTAAAATATATATAATTTTTGACATAATATTCATAAAATAAAAAAAAAAATTTACATGTATCACAATCCATAATGATGTAAGATTTTTGAAATTGTAGGCGACTTATCCAGCTCAACTACAACTTTAAGTGCAAGTGCCCCCACGGGCACCTGTTCATTCATCTGCAAAGGAGGACCCTTAGTTGGACCACCCATTAGCAAGTAAATCTCTACAACAGTCGCCACTATAGTCATTCTTCTGTAAGTCATTTTCGACGTCTTCCCTCAGTCAAAAGATGAAACTCTTTTCTTCACTTCACCACCACCTTGTGCCCCTTTTTTACCCTCACATATTTCCATTTACTGAACAAGCCTGACAATAATTGTTTATCTAGGATGTTAGTATTCAACTCATTCAGATTCACTAAAACACCTTGAGCAAACAGAAAAGCTAAATCGAAGGGCAAAGAAAGAGAGATTTACTAATGGTGAATCATCACAACCTAATGACCCCCTTCATATTCTTTTTTTGCCTCACAACACTTCCATGCACTGCAGTTAAATGTCCCTCTGTAAGAGACAGCTAACCAAACCACTCATTCCTCTACCCATCTTTCCACACAGAAGCATCTGACAGTACATTCAAATTCAATCATTTGGCATTCTCCATGTGATAGTATGAGCTGCAAAGTTTGTTATATGCAAAAAAATCTAAAAAAAATAAATGAAGTAAAAGTAATACATATTTTTTCGAATATTCAAAAAAACAAAAAAAATCCTTACATGTCGTATAATCCACACTAATGCAAGATTTCTAACATTACAGGTGACTTGTCTAGCTTACCTACAAATCCGACAGCAAGTGCCCCCGTGAGTGCTTGATTTTTCATTTGCAAAGGAGGAACCTTAGTTGGATCAGCTATCGATGAGTCACTCCCTATAAAATTCACCCCTATGGTTGTTCTTATAGGAATCATCCTTGATGACTTTCCTTGGTCAGAAGACAAACCACCTTTCCTCCACTTCATAAACACCTTGCGCCTCTATTGGCCACCCACCTATTTCGGCTTACTAAACTAGCTTGACAACAACTCCTTATTAGTATTCGACTCATTCAAATTCCCCATAGCACCTCAAGAAATTGAAAAAGTTGAATCAAAGGACAAAGAAAGGAAGTTGGACAAATGGGTTCAAATTAATAAATGTCTCCGTGCTCTATTTATAAGAGACTGAGTCCATAATTTAGGGGATTATCCATGTTATAAGTGGCATTTGAAATTTTTCATTAATTCAATTAATTAATTATCTCATTCTTCTTACAACACAACTTTTAAATAGATGAGATAACTAAGGATTTAAATATGTATGATTAAAATAAGCTGCAAACCAATAAGAAGAAGAATTTAACTCAATGTGCCCTTATACCAGTCTAGGAATCTAAGAGGACCCAACTCACGAGCTACAATGATAGAAGTGGCCCAACATTGCTAAGGCCCTTAGCGCATGGTTGAGGGCAAACGATCAATTGTAAGCACAAGGAATACAAACACAAATAGTAGAGACCTCCAGCCATCTACCGAACTACTAGTTGACTTTAGAGAAAGACATTTTTAAAATGTTCTAGACTTTAATGATGATGTAACCAAAAAGACAGTTATGTGGCCCTAAAAACCCAGAAATCATGATGACATGTGCTTATTTTATATAGAGAAATTGCCCCTTCTATAAGAAGAGGATGAAATATTAATTAGATTCTTGATCCTCATACCCCAATCTCCAATCCTAGATTGACATAGTACAACATTTCTCTTTTAACATATTAGCTCTCTCTCTCTCTCTCTCTCTCTCTCTCTCTCCTCCCTCCCTCCCTCCCTCCCTCCCTCTCCCCCTCTCCCTCTTCCTCCCCCTTCTCGAAGCTCTATTCCTTGGGCTTGATTCATGGACAAAAAGATATCCAACACAAATATTACTTTAAGATAGTTTACCATGACAAGGGGAACCATCAATAATGCTCTTCCATGTAATATTCTATATGCAACAAATTCATTCAAAAGCTAAATTGACACTTTAAACATGATAAACATTTTTTATTTCAACATCATAGCATTTAATACCCAAATGTCATATATCTCTTAAGTTAATGGTTGGAGGTACACACAAATGTCTTTTTAATAACTTTTCTCTCTTAGTATAATTATTAATAAGATATATAGGCTTTTCTTCATCCAACCCATAGGCGGAGAATCATACAAAACCAAAATATGAGTAATTAAAATAGAAACAAAAAAAAAAGTAATCCCAAACAATCCCTGAGGTGTTGTTTTTAAAAATAACCATATCTTAATCAAATATGCCACACATTTTTTTAATTCAAACTAAAATATAAATAATTTAAATCAAAAAAAAAAAAATGTGATCCTAAATAATCACTAAGAAATCATGAACACCTTCAATTGAATAAAATTATTTGTTAGTATATGATGCAAATGAACATAACATTTTATTTATTAAATTTGCAACATGAATTGCAAACTTCGAAAATACCAACTTCTATTAATTGACACAGGTTCGTTCATCAATAAAATTATTTTTATGTCATTAATAATAATCAATAAATGTATAAACAGGATTAATGGTTATAATACAATAAGAGGTATCTTTCTAACATATATTTGAATCATCAAGAATCTCTTCCACTAAATATTAATAGAGTACAAATGTGAAAATGCATAATGACATGAAAGGCGAGATCTAAAGCTGAAAATTGATATTAATCTTACATTCGACTAAATGCATCTGTGAAATCCAAAAGTTATTTAGAAAACACACCCAAGGTATAAAACGTTCCACAAGGAAGAATGAGAGAGAGAGAGAGAGAGAGAGAGCGCAATAGAGAACAATAAAAGAGAATGTAACATTTATTCATGACATGGATCCTCTATTTATAGATTAGGTCCCTGTTTTACAAAATTACATATCAGTCCCCCTCATTTTTGACTTTCTAGAGAAGTTTTTTTGATAATTACAGAGGTAATCGCATACAATAAAACCAGATGACTGATTTGGTCGGTAGGAAGTTCGACGGTCTTCTGTTAAGCCTTGACTCAGTCGTCATTTGATCTTAAATAGTACTTCTTGTCGATTGACTTAAAGGTCGATCGCCCCCTGTTAAAAAATTCATCTATCACATTCTTTCGATCACTCGAACTAGACGCTTTCTTCGCTAATCTCTCTCCCAAACGGTCGTCAACAGCTAGATTTGGTTATCATATCTTCCTTCCAAGCCGTTCATCTGCCTCATGATTCGAGTTGACATATTTTTCGTATACACCATTATATATAATATCTTATTACACTGTTGATAACAGGAAGCCTACAGTTCAGGGACAAAAATGATGAAAATTTTGTATTTCATCAATCTAGTATACGATTTAAAACAAAATATTATACCACTAAAATTTTGTTACGAGTAAATATTAATACTAAAAGAATTATTCTAGGGAAAATATTTAATAAAAATACAAGTTGTTTATATATTTAGATATTTTGCACATATCACTTGATGAAACGAACATTTTTTCTTATTATTATAGCTAAAGATCATTAATTCTAACCATCTATATTGAACAATATAACTAAACCAACTTAAATTTGGATATTCATTCACATATAATATAAATTTCCTTTTTAAGCATTGTCTGCCATGGGATGAGAAATGCATAAGACAAAAATGAGAAAACAAATGAAGTATACAACACAACAAGCACATCATCTAATGATCATCATCATCAACAAAATTGATGGCCACACACCAATTATTTGTGATCCATTTTTTAATCATCTACATTTCTTTTTTATATGTGCTACATATGGCCCTAACTCAGTTTTAAACGAGTTTTTTCAGATAGTTATTAATTATAAGTAATATTTTTTTAGATTCCATTCTAAAACAAAAAAAAAAAAGAAAATATTAAAAATGAAACAATTAATTTAAATAAGCTATATTTTCTAAATCGTGTGATACATTGAAATCTTTTATATGCTTTGGCATCAAAATTAAATCATTAAAAGTTCTCATGAGAATATATTACAAAATTCATTTAGTAGGCATGGATTGAAGAGGAGAAAAGGGCCAATCCTTAGTGGGAATTAAAAATCAAGGCACATTTTGAAACAATCTAACCAAATTGCAGCTACAAGTATTCATATACTTTAAATGGTTGTAGCCATTGCAATAATATGAACTTAACTTGCAACAATCAAAACCAACTCCAAAGATGATAAGAATAATAATAATTGTAGCCTTTTATTAAAACAACTAAAGGCCAATGGCTTCTAGGGGCAACACTTTTAATCGTGTATGAATCTAAAATTGTATACTTATGGTTAGTATAAGGATAAGAAATAAACGTGTGAGATACCATGAGAATGTGAAAAAGACTATAAATTGATCAGAACCGCGATTGTTTCACTAAAAATGTTTTGGCTTTTTAGGCTATATGAATGCATCATGGCTTATATATTTCTTTTGCACAATTATTATACTCGATATAAATTCTATATCATTTAATGAATATTGACATGTATAATCTATTTGATTTTACGTTACATTTTATGGAACTTAAGATGGTTGATTGCACGGTAATACTTGATGGACGTTGATACCATCCACAATTGAATTAGCCATTTGATGCTTAAGAGAAGCCGAGCAAACCTTAATTTGATGCTTACTTGATTAAATTCTTTTTCAGGATTAGGGAATATAATCAAGTTTGATAAAATGGTGTTTGATAAGCTTTGTCGCATACAAAGAAACATAGCCATTTTTGGTTTCTAAGACAAAAGTTATGTAAGACAGATGTGTCGACCAAATCATGGCAAGAGTTATCCAAGATATTGTTGATCATTAAAGGCATGGACTGAATCAAATGACATAGCTGGTATGTGTCAAAATCAATTTGTGAGGTGGCATAGATTTAATTCAAGACATAGATGTTGTCGTCTTGCCACCAATTCTTGATGAATGAATGATAGTATTTATATACAGAGGAGAGTAGCCGCTCACTTTTGATTTCTCCATTGTTCTGCTTTAGTTCTCTTCGGTTGACGAATCTAATTAGTTTAGGAGTTGTTTGATGTGATGAAATATACATATATATCATATTAACAAAATTCATTTTATTGAAGCCATTTTAAAATTACTTAAATTTGATGTCAACTACATCCATAAATTTATTTATTTTTTATTTGATTTGAAGAAAAATAATATCAATATAAAACATATTCGACAATAACGGCATCAAGTGGTAGCAACCTGAGCGCAAGCAGCAAAGGCGATTGTAGGTCAAGACTACAAGGCAGGCAACAATAACAGTGTTTAAAAGACACCTCTTAAAATATAGGATGCACTTTAAATTCACTAAAATTTACCAATAGAACTTGCCACATAAAGAACGTCAATATTGATTTCATCACCAATTTTGGCTGTTAACATAACATATAACTATTCAACACGCAATGCACACATTATACCCCCAAAAAAAAAAAAAAAAAAAAAAAAAAAAAAAAAAAAAAAGTGATGAAAACCTTACTCAATTCTCCATTCTAATACCTCCCAGTAGTCAATTATAGCATAATCTCTCTTTTTTTTTTTTTTCTAAATAAGCCAAAAAAATACTTTGTACTAGGGGTGAAAAGCACAAGTTACAAAAATGGAGATTGTTTCCCACAGCATAGAATGAAACGTTTCTCACAGTCCATCAGAATACATCAGGCTGATGAATCGCATCATCTTGCTGATCTTTGAAAATTGAAGTAGAAACAGCATTAAAAAAAAAAAAACCAATCAACTATAATCAAACCTAAATACACAATCATAAGAAAATCTTCTAACTGCACACCATCTGAGATCCCAAATAATCATAAGAAAGCCTCACCCGCTAGATCTGTGCCACTCATTTCCTTCCATCTGGTGGTATTGGATCACGAGGGGAAATTAGCGGAAAAGGAAAGTTGTAGTGGCTTCTTTGAACTCATCTCTAGCGAAAACAATGCAAAAGATGGTAATCAATAATCGCATTCCTGAAGCTACGAATCCACCATGTCATCCTGTAGCTCGCTGGGAGCAACCAGCCCTGGGATGGAAAGCATTCGTTGGCGTTCCCTTTCTCTCTGTGCAGCAGCCTCTTCAGCATATAGATCTTTGTTGTCCTGCAAGTTAATAGAAACCACTCAAAATATAGTTGGGCGGGAGGGAAATAATGTCACACGTGCACCACATTCAGCCATAAATACAAATAAATTTGATTAATCAAATATAAAATTGCCTTTTATTTCAATAATGTAGCATTGATTTGTTTAATGATTTATTAAAATTTAATAATATAATGTATTAGATAAAAATGTGTTAGTAACGTTACCTTCTTTTATGCACACAATATCCAAAATTTTAGTGAATATAAAAAAATGCTGTGTGCAATAAATATATATCAATTAATTGATTTTAATACTTTGCGAATTTTCTTCAATGCTCGTCTATATTCCTTTCTAGAATAATATGCATGCACGTATGTAGGTTTCTTTAATAGCGCAAACATGTATACATAAAGGAAGAAATGTAATACATAAATGAGTGTGAGTGTGTATGATGTTAAATTCACTAAAATTATTATAAACTCCTTACTCCGCAACCAAATACTAAAAATAGAAAGTGTGCTTAACCAGTGGATGATCAAGAAATGAGAACCATTTTTTTTAAAATAAAGGCTACAAAGCAAACAGTGTAATAACAAAGGCATCTTTGAACAAGTAATCCACTCATTCTTTTTCACATGTTGCATTGTAACAATAATATATGAGTGCAGGACGTAAGAACGAAGCAAAAATCATCATTAAACCCAATAAGGAGACGTTAAGTAGGATGTGATATTGAAATCCAATGAGAAGCACAGAAGAGAGTCCAACGGAGCAACATATTATTAAAGAAATAAACTACCTGAGCAGAGAATTCTTTAGATTGAATTAGAAAATCTCGAATATGGTTCTTAAAAGCATGGATATCATGCTTTGATTCAAAAAGCCCATCGATAAACTGAGTCACCTGCAAAAGACCCAAATTTAAGACCTTTTTTACTCGATAACTGTAAGACCAAAAAGATAAGGTGAATCACCTCTGCAGGAGTCATATTTGGAAACGAGCTTCCTAGCAATTTGATGGTGTAATCCCGGACAAATGCCGTGTTATTGGGGAATGGATAAGGAACTGATGAGGCATCCCACAGAGGCTCAGTCAGTGAGCCAGAGTCAACCTGTAAAGGAAACAAAATAAAAATGGGGTAAAGGAGTAAGGAGTTCAATAGAAATAGTAAAATAACTACTATACTTCTTACCAGGCCGAACAAAAGCTGAAGCACCGATACATGTAGCTTGAATCCTGGCTTATGGAATGTGTCCGTTAAGACGGCAAAAATTTCTTGCTCAATTATCAAGAAGTAAGTTCTGTAAAATTGATTACGGAACTCTGAAACCTGTTAAAAACACAAATCAGTGAGCTAACTGAAGTTAGGTGATGAAGGGAAGGAAATGGGAAGGGAGTTATCACAAACTTGGTAGTTCTTCAATAACTCAATCAGAAGGTTGAGGCCAGTTTCAGCAATATTCCTTTCGGTGTGCCGAAAAGCCCAGATTATTGAATCCATAACTACCTTTACTTGCTGCATGGAGCGGAGAAGGATTTAAATAAAAATGTGAATATAAAATGAATTGTGATAAATAACAAATAACTGATAAGGTTTCTATAAAGAAGCCAAGGGATGGAGGAAGATCTTAACCTGAGATGATAACTGAATTAAAGCTTGAAAACAGTGTGTGGCAATGGCACGTAATAAAGAAAAGAACTTCAATCGATGCTCTGGGTAATCTTCAAAATTCCTCGTGATCATCTGTATTTGGATAAATATAAATATAAATAAATATATATATATGATAAAGTGTTTGAAACCTTCAAAATTAGTGTGAATATGAAGCTCACCTCTAGAGTGCACTGGAACACTGCTTCAAATATGCGAGGTACATCTTCTATCATTAAGCTTTTATACCTGCATCAAGAGCGGTGAAGTTGGAAGCTAAGAAACCTTGACGTTATATATATGTATATATGAATAACCGTGACAATTACCACCTTAGGAAGGAACCGATGTAATACAACAACATGTAAAAAGGTACAATTAAGCTTTCCCTGAGATTTATATCCATTTTTTGCCGATCCCGAAAACAATCAGAAATAATTTTATAAAATTATCTATTTTGGAATGAACAATTTGATAACTATGTGTGTGTTTGTGTGTATATATCGTTATAAAATTAATTCATCAATTTGATCACTCAATTTACCCTCTGTTAATACTCATATATTACCATTCATTTATTGAATTTACAGTAACTGAGATTACTGAACGGTGACAATCTGGCAAATCCATTAGCGCATGCATGCATTGGAGCATGGCTACAACAATTGGTTGTGATGGCTTTAACCTGAAGGATATATAATTTATACAATATAAAAACTTGTACATATTAACCTAAGCACCAAATCTAGCCACTACCCATGCATTCCCATCACGTAACTTTTCAATAATTGCAGATATAGAACTTATTGTGAATGAGCCGTAGGAAAGAATAGAAAGAGAGAAGAGGAAAAAAAAGAAAGTAGGAGGAATAAGAACAGAAAGCTTGGGTATTTATGTAAACATCGTTTTCAGATTTTCTTCCACAAATCAACATTGTATTCATCTTGATAGGCTTTGAAAGCCTTAATAAAGAGAAATTCTTTCAAAAATAATGATGATAATTTGAGGTTGAGATATATAGATTTGTGTTGATAAGTTGGGAATTGCTTTAACTTAAGGAAATTGATGTTTCCAATATATTGAATACTAAAGAACAAAACTTTTCAAAAATAAAAATAAGGAATTCCACTCCAAAAAGAATCTCATAATTGTGGTGAGATAGTCAGCCTTTAATGTAAGAATCAAATAATTCATAGGCCTAATGATTGCATTTTCTACTATTGCATTAGACATTTATGCACATATGAATAAAAATTTCTTCATATAGAGAATTTTGAAATTATTTGATGTTATAAAAAATTTAATGCATTGAACTTATTCACATATTAAATATGATCCTATGTTAATTCTATATTTTAAATTCTTATATACACCAAACACAATCAAATACTCATTTGTTATTTCAATTTTTGCATGCTAATGCCTCAGTTACAATTTGATGCAAATTGACAATAGCATGTGTATGAAAATGCTAAAAAAGTTTTAATGTCTACGCCAATGATGCCAAAAATTTAAATGGAAAAACCGGTAAATGATGATGATTTACGTAGGGAGAGACAAGTATTATGACAAGATGAACCTTGATAGAGAGGCTAAAAGAGATTTCCCACCCTTAAATCTGAAAAATTGGCATGATACCGTCCAATCCTCAATCAAATGGTTATTTTCCATTTTATATTAAATCTGAACCTTATCAATAATGATTATTGGTTGGCGGGCAATATGACAACCAGATGATATAAATATGCTAAGTGTGTAATAGCATTATGTGGCAACTTTTGAGACAGAAAAATATGAATATGAGAGAAAATAAACATAAATAAATTTCATACATACATCAATTAAATTAGTATAATGCATCAATGATTTGAAACTTAAAAGATGATTTATTTTCTTCTAGACACGTTCAATGCGTATTATTATATTTCTTTATGTAACTAGCAAAATAAATTTTAGTTTAGCTTCTACACTAAGCTAGTCAAGCAGAGGCCTAGTACTGCCCATGTTAGTAATAAAAGGTCAACATGTAGACTAATATTATTATTATTATTATTATTTGCATTTTAAATTATATATTAGAACTATTTATTCAACCAAACCTTTAACTTATGGAGTATTATGCTTACTATTATTCAGGCAAGGGAAAAAAGCATGTGGAACCACCATCAGGTCACACAATTATCCTGTATCCTAAAATTCTAATGTAACATTTTGAATGTAAAATAAAAATATATATGTGAAAGAAATTCTGCTAATATAAAATTTATATGATACCCATAAAATTGTAATGAAATTTAATTAGAAACACTGTGGCCAATTTTGATTATTTAAATAATGCATACTTCGTATTAAGATGCATATCATGGATTTATTTAAAAATTTTGATGATATATGTCATGGTGATCTAGGTAGAATATTTTCTAGTCACTCAAACCTAATTAATGAAATCAAAATGGGTGTTGGTGACAGGATTGTCTGCCCCTATTACATTTTAAACTTGATTGAGGGTTAAAATGATACATGACAATTAAAACTAATAAATAAAAATAAAAAAAATAAAAAAGGCTTTCCACATATAAATGGATAATTATTCTCTAATGAATTGTAAGTGGCAAATATCAAAAAATCGACAAACATATAAAATTGTGAAAATTTCACAATGTTTAATGGAAAAATTAAACTATAGCCCATGAGCATGCAAGAACACGTAGTTTGTGTTCAAGTTTTGACGCAAATGTGCACGTGCCAATTGCATATTTTATCTATTGTTGATTTCCCTTCAAATGAGAATTATACTGCCCAATGGAGTGTTGTGTTTGTTTTTTGCAGGTCTTATTAGTTTTGTGGGTTTCTTCTTTTCAATTCGGATGTGTTTGGCTTTGCTGCTTGCAGTTTCTGGGAGCCTTAAGAGTGGAAATAGTCATTGTTTGTGCAAACTTCGAACTCAACACCATGCTGCCTTGACGTGTTTTGGTTTTGCTGGAAAGTGTAAGTTGGCTTTGGTCTGCTGACGAGTGAAGTTCAGGCTTGCCTTGCTTTCTAAATTTCTTGTGGATCTGATATTTTATGCCATCCTACAATTACATGTATGATCTCAATTTTTGAAGTGTTATAATTTTAAAATTAATATATAAATGTTTTTGTTATAAAATTTATTCAGATTGATGTTAAATGTGCTTCGAGACTTGAAGCAGGAAGAGTAACTTCAAAAATGATACGATAATTTGGAAAAAAAAGAGAAATTTGTAACTTCAAAAATGATACGATAATTTGGAAAAAAAGAGAAATTTAATGTAAAAGAAAGTGGTTCGTGTTCTCGTTGCATCTTATTGAATAATCTGCTGATAAGCTGATTAAAAATAATTTATTGATAAGCTAGATGTGGTAGTTATTACAAATTTTTATTTTTTTGAAAAAACCAGACCGCAGCCAGAAAGCTGCCACCGCACTTAGACATGTGCGGCGTGAAAACGTTGTTTTTAACATTTTGAAAACGCATAAGTTGACAAAACGCAGTTTACCCAAACAGGTCAGGTGTGTTTTCAAAACGTCACCGCATCAAATAAGCTGCCCCAAACGGACCCTTAATGTAAAAGAAAGTGGTTCGTGTTCTTGTGTTGATTAATTTAATAATAATTACAATATATTGTAGATTGAATAGGTCATAATAAGAAATGTGAGTCCTATTAGGATCATAATTTATTTCAAATCAATTTTATTCTTTTAATCGTCACAATTAACGTTTTCTAAAACAAACTTGTTGATTAATTCAAATTATAAATTATATTTTTTATGTTTAACAATGTTTCAATAGTATAATGAGTTTCAAGCCAATTCAAAATCAAAATAAGCCTGCCCAAATTGGAGATGCTCAAAATCAAGAATGCGCAAACAATAATTAAATTTTGATCCACCTTAATTTAATTCGATTAGATTTCAAGCGACACTTGGCTCTGCTCAAAAAAGGATGGTTCTCAATCCTAACTCCCAAATTGTGCATTCATTTATCTTAATATTCTCATTTCTATCCCGCTCAACTTATAAAAGAATGTTTTTTTATTACTAAAAACACAAATATGTTCCACATGACCAACTTAATTGCACTTTTAAGTTATAGGGTAAGACTAAATTATATCAACTCATCACACATAATACTCTTATGACACTTTTCCATTTTAATTTAGCATTAACTTTAGAAATAATATCCCTATTTATATCTTCAATATTTTGGATAATATATCAAATATATTCAAAACATATCAAATCTAATTATCATTTATTTTCTAAAAAATATTGACTACTAATTACTATATCAAATCCAGCAAAAAAGCAAATCAAATGCTAAATCCATCATTTAAAGCATGTTTGTTTCATCAGTAATATTTTGCAAACATACAATCAAATTCTAAAATATATTAAAACTTCCACAACAATCCTCTTATAGAACTAATATTTTATCTCACGTCAATTTTAATTTTGGTCCAACTAAAGAATTTAAATTTTCTCAATTCTAAAGTCTTTCTCAAACTTCAATAATTTATCACAATTGAAAAACCACCAAAAATATCATAGGGAAATTATTTATTTTCAATTTTTTATTTATAGCCATTAAACGTGGGCATGGTGTATTAAAAATGATCCTACTTTATCAGAAATAAATGAAACTATGATACTCAATAGGACACAATGGAGGAAAGGATTCATTTACAGACCCAACTTAGTGGGATAAAGGCCTTTTGCTGTTGTTGTTGTTTACTTACAGCCTTTTGGTATTATTCATAACCACTATTCTACATTGTATGATCAAATTTTCTCATAAAATTACCTTATAATTTTTGCAAGCACTTGAAATGTTTATTATCAATATTGCAATTTCTTTTGTGACTCAATTCGCCGTAAGATCCTAGGCTCAAATTTCAGGCAACTACAATGTCTTGGTAGCCTAGTGATTTTGACAGCTCCCGCATATACCTACATCTAAAATTAGAAACGATATTATGAAAAAGGTTTACAATCGCTTATGTAGATATACAAAATAGAAAGTTTGCAGACAAGGAACTTAGATAAAATCAGGGGTGTAAATGAGCCGTGCTTGAGAGATCCTAGCGTTAGTTCATGTTCAACTCGTTCGAAATATTTTTGGCTCAAAATTGACTCATGTTCAATATAACTCGTGAATAGTACATTCGTGCTATACTCGATATGAATTCGTTAGTTCATTTCAACTCATGTTCGGCTTGAATTTAGCT